ATTAAATAATTCAGCAGCAACAACAAAAACAACATCACCGTCATCGTCCTCTAAAATTCGAGACAATTTCACGACCACAAAGTATACGAATCCAGCGATAAACTACAACAACTATCATTACAAACCTCCAAAACTACACAACAACAACAACATCAACAACAACTATGACAACATCAACAACAACAACTATGACGTCATCAAACCGGAAATAGTTTGGCGTAGTTGTGCCGGCGTTGTCAGTTTCGCCGCCAAAATAGCGCAAACATTCACGGAGAGTTCTGATTTTGGCTCGGGCAGAGATTTCAAAAGCATCTTACATAGGCACAACCATCGAGTCGGGAGATTGGTAAATATGTGTGCGTGTTTGTGAGTTTGTTTGCTTGTGAGTGTATGTGTGTATGTACATGTGTGTGTGTGTATGTATAGACGTGCCAGTTTGTATGTGCAGTGTATGTTTCTTGATTGATAAATTACATTCACACATATATACAAACAAACAAACAACCACACAAACGAACACAACTTTCAGTTAAGCACGAGTCCAACCAGACAGCATTGCAAATGCCATGGCCTCTCTGGGTCCTGCACGATATTTACCTGCTGGCAGAAACTGCCGACCTTTGCAACGGTAGGCAAGAAGTTGAGAAAAGTCTACGAGAAGGCAGTTCAGGTCACAGCTTCTAATGACCACCATCAAGATGGGGAGTCGATGCTGATGACGATGGTGGTGGCCGCTGGTGAGGATGAAGATGGGGGTGGGAGGGGTAGAAATTATGTCGAAGTTGACGCAACACCATCGTTGTCGTCATCGTCCTCATCGTCTTCATCAACAACAAATCGTCTTCATGCTGAGTTGTTGTCAGAAATCAAGCGCAGATCCCTCGTCTACTCGGTGAAAAACTTGGACTTCTGCACTAGAAACGTGAAGAAAGGAATTGAGGGAACGCAGGGCCGGATTTGTAATCCTCCAGTCAGTAATAGTACTAGTGGTATAAGAAGTAGCAGCAGAAGTAGTAATAGTAGTAGCAGCAGTAGAGGCGTTGGTAGCAGAAGTAACAACGATCCAACAACAAAGACACAAAAATCGATAGCGAAAATTGGCAGTTGTGAGTATCTATGTTGTGGCCGAGGCTTCGAAAAAAGGCGGGAAATAATTGAAGAAGAGTGTAGATGCACTTTTAAATGGTGCTGTACCGTTGTCTGCTCCATATGCAAAAGAACCATCGAAGTCTTCAGGTGCCTCTGATTAATTTATTCATTAATTTGATGTTAAATAAAATAAAACTGAACACCAAATAGAACGAAATGATATTATTATAGATTAAAATATTGTTAATAATTAAGACGTAATATACATATTATATATATTGCTCTGTGTTTGTGTGCTAGTTGTGTGTGTGTTTTGTGTGTGTATATTTTAATCTTACTTGACTACAAGAGAATACAATTGAAACATTCACAGCAATAGTGCACCCAAAAGAGACCTCTACGCTTTAATATATATATTTTTGTAAATTTATTTACATATATATGTATATACATAATATATTTTAATAATATTATTATAAAATATATATATTCTTATAGCATTCAAAAATGTTGTACATACATACATACATACATACATCGTCACACGTAAAAATATAGATATCATATGTTCATATATATATATATATTAAGCAGTACAATCACTAAAGTTATGGAAAGCTTTATTGGAATGACCATTATCATTATTGTTTGTTATTATTATTATTATTATTATTATTATTATTATTATTATTATTATTATATACAACATCAGTTGTAAGTAATTAACAAAGCAATTAAATAATTTTACGTCAGTCATTATAACAAGACAACATGAAGGACCTCAATGATAAAAAAATAAATTTATCACATTAATTACCATCCTCATCGCTACGTATCGTCATCGTCGTCGTCGTAATGACGTCACCATGAGGTCATGAGGTCATGAGGTCATGTGATCAAGCATCAATGGTATCCTGAAATCATCCATATTGGGCATTACGAAGGATCTCTAAGGAGAGAAAAGAAAAAAATTTTTTTTTTATTATTTTTTTTTGAGTCAATCAATCAATCGATCAATCAATCCACCATCCAATCGCCAGCCAATCAAATAATCCTCACTCACTCAACCAGCCAATCAGCAAACCTGAAATTCTAGCGACAGTTTTTTTTCTATCCAATCAGTGACCGGCTTCAGGCTGACCTCTCTCAAACCCACCCTTGGACGGACGGCCAATTCAAATATAGGGTTCCCTCTGAATCCGTACCTAAGAGTAATAATAATAATAATTATTATTATTACAGCATAATCATCACCAGCAATTCTCAAAACATCAACATCATCATCATCATCATGTTCTTAATGACGTCATCATCTGACTGACCAGAGCCGATCAGTTGGTGGTGGGGGTATGTTGATGGCCAGGCTGCCAACCAATGATTTCACTTCAACGTTCAACTCTAGCTTCGTATTTGAGACCTCTTCTAGAGCTCTGATTAAATGAATGAAGGAATAAATAGATGGATGGATGAATGGATGGATGGATGAAGGAATAAATGGATGGATGGATTAATGAAATAATGAACCAACAAATGAACAGACAAATGAATGAGAAAGAGAGAGAGAGAGAGAGAGAGAGAGAGAGAGAGAGAGAGAGAGAACACGTAAGAAAGAGACAAACGGACAGACAAACATACATACAAAAAACAAACAAACAAACAAACGCATACAAACCTTTTGATATACTTCATTTCAACTGCCTGTTGAAAATACTTAGACTGCGATATGCGATCAACTAACTTCATAATCCTCTTCCCTATTGGCTGCACTTGTTTCCTGTTTGTTGGGTGCGTGTACGTGTGTGCGTGTGTGCGTGCGTGTGCGATGACGTCATCATCATTATCATAATTTACCCGGAAGTGACAGCTCTATCGACGTCGTCCTCGTCTCCCTCGTCGACCAGCGGGTACTCTTCATCGGTGCTTGACTCTGCGCTGTCTTCATCATCTGAGTCGAGTGCCGCGATTCTAGAGGAGAGAATGAATGAACGAACGAACGAATGAATGAATGAATGAATGAATGAATGAATGAATGAATGAATGAATGAATGAACGAACGAACGAACGAACAAACGAACGAACGAATGAATGAATGAATGAATGAACGTATGAATGTACAAATAAATAAATAAACTCACTAATAAACGAACGAATAAATGAATAAATGGAAGAAAGAATGAAAGAACGCCAACTTCTTAGCAGGAGCATCATTTTTTTTTGCGTTAACAGCGCTAACATAACCAGGCGTTGAAGCTGTCGTAGCGGGCGTAGCCGCTATAGCAGCTGAAGTAGTAGCGGTAGTTACTGTCGTATTAGAAGCAGTGTTGTTGTTCGCACCAACCTCTTCATTACTGACGAGTACTTCGCCATCTTTCGCGATATTTTGTTGTGGTTGTGCTGGTTTTTGCTGTTTTCAAATGAAAAAATGCCTCATTTATTTGTTTGATCAATCTATCCGTCCATTAATTTATTTAACCATCAATCCATCTATTCATCCATCTATTCATCCATCTATTCATCCATCCATCTATCGAGACCTTGGGATGTTTCAGCTTCATGAGGTTGCACTTGCTGACCATGGTGATGCAGAATCCGCCCGGGTAGGAAACCTGGAGGTCGACCCAGAAGCCTCTGTCGTCCAGGTAGGGCTTGTGCGACCTGCAGATCACCGGCACATTCGACCCCAGGTCGATCCCCGTAACTGTTAACTGGTCCATGATGTGTGGCACCTAGGCGTGTGTGCGTGTGTGTGTCGTTGTGTGCGTGCGTGCGTGTGTGTGTGTGTGTGTGTCGTTATTACCATCATCATCGTCGTCGTCGTCGCCATCATCATCACTAACGTGTATCTTACTCAGCTTCTTCTCAATTTTTTCTTGAATTTTTTCAACCCAATATCTCTCTCTCAAGAAATCCATGAACAACCTATTCGAGGTGGAATGTGAGTGAGTGAATGAATGGATGGATGAATGGATGGATGAATGAATGAATGAAGAATCGTACAAACAAAAAACAAACGAACGAAAGAATAGATAAAAGAATAAACCGACCTAGATATGAGAGTATTGAGCCAGAGTAGCTGGGGATCACAGAGGCCTGCATTCATCCATCCTCCATCAAACATATCCGTCGTCGAAAAGGTCCCGGGTAAGGAATGGGATGACGACTGCTTCTGTTGCAGCTGTTGCAAGTTACGACTCGATCTGGTCGGGGAATTCCTTCGATGAGGATGAAACTGAAAGTGAAACTGCTGCTGTTGTTGTTGTTGTGGCTGCTTTTCATACTTGCTGGACCTCGTTTCATCTAAGCCTGCTGCTGTTGCTGCTGCTGCTGCTGCTGCCGCCATTTCGTCATCAGATACTGTGATGATTTCCTCGTACGCGTCTGCGTCAGTTGGCGTTGCTGAAGTTGTTGCAGACGGTGCAATGGAAATATGGCTAGTTGAATTTTTGAAAAAGGGATTTTTGGGCCTCGAGGTAAAAGTCGATTGAACTTTATCCTGCTTGGTTTTGCCCTTTTTGACTTTTTCTTCATCGTCAATTTTTCGTTTGACATGGTTCATCTTCTTGATCAGGTCAGATTCTTGTGATTTCGCGATGTTTTTGGTTAATTCTTTGTTGGTGTAAACTTCTTGAGGCTTGCCGATTGTCCTGCTCATGTAGAGAGCGTAATGGAAGAGGTTGAGTTCGGGCGGCAGTTTTGAATAGTCGATGTTGTTTGAAGTTGATGTTTGTTGCTGCTGCTGCTGCTGCTGAAGCTGCTGGTGGGCGTTAAGCGACGTGAAAGCATTGTACGTGGTCTGCAGCAGCGCTACGTCCATCTCGAGGCCCGAAGTTATGATATCCAACCTGTTTAAGAATGTTAACCTCTGTCAGTATTAAATTCGCAAATTAATCTTTACACATCAGCATGTGATC